TTTATTTCTTCATCTTCTCTAAATGTGGTACCTACTTTTTCTAGAACTATATTGAACAAGAGTGAAAATAGTGGGCATCCCTCTATTGTTCTTAATCTTATAGTGAAATCTTTCAGTTTTTGATGTTTTGGTGTGATGATGGCTGTTGATTTGTCACTGTTGTGGTTTGTGACTAGATGTCCCCTAATGACTTATACAATAATGGGGCAGGTTTCTAAAGTCTGTGATTCATTTATGGTCTAATGCTGAGATTAACGATGTCTAATTTGTACTGTGACACATTGATAGTTCAAGAAGGAATTTTTTCTATTCCTCACCATGTGTGTCCTCCTACAGGATTCTGGGAGCAGGTGGACTGCATACAATACAAGTGGGGGAAAGAGGCTTACTCTTTTCCTGCCTATTTGCTCTTCTTACTTTTGCTCTCTTCTGCCATCATCAACAGTTGCTCCTCTTCCATGCCACCTTGTCCTAGAGCCAGCTGATTATAGACTGCAAGCTGCACAAATAGTGAGCTAAATAAACCATTTCTTCCTTTTTTTTCATTTCTTCCTTAATTCTGGGCATCAGGTATTTTGCCCGAGCAATGAGAAAAATGTAACTAAGACACTGTCAGATGAATGTTATCAGATTGAGATAAAGATCTTTTATTCCTTTTTTAGGTTTTTATCATGAATTGTAAGGCTTTATGAAATGCTTTTTCTGCATCTATTGAGATGATTTCATGATTTTTTCCTTGGTTCTGTTAATATGGTGTATTATAGTTACTAATTTTCATATATTGAATCATCCCTGCACACCTGGTAAGAGTCCTACTTGATCACAACTTTTAAGAATATATATATTTCTTCTGAGTTTTCTATCTTATTAGAGTACAAGTTTTCAAAATAAGTATTGATGATCTTTTGGATTTCTGCAAGACGCATTATGGTTTAACCTGTTTCATTTGTTATTATATTGACTTAGATTTTTTTCTCCTTTATGATCAGGTTGAGTAAAACTTTGTCAGTTCTATTTCATCTTTCAAAGAACCAACTGTTGGATTCATTGACAGTTTGAATTGTTTTCTTAGTCTCGATTGCATTAATTTTTGTCTTATTCTTTTAATTTTCTTCTTTGTATGAGTATTTGGTTTAACTTCCATTTTTTTTCCTAAAAGCTTGAAGTTCAAAATTAGGTTTATTATTTGACCTTACTTGGTATGTCTGATGGGGGATTTAACCACTATAAATTCCTCAGAGGGCTTCTAATGCTGTTTCACAGAAGCCAGTGTTTTGCACAGGCATTATCTCTTAATTTCAGAAGCTGTCTAATTTGTACTATGACACATTGATAGTTCAAGAAGGAATTATTTCAGTTCCTCACCATGTGCATCCTCCTACAGAATTCTTGGAGTGTTTTTTGGGGTGGGAGAACAAGGTAAGTGGCTTCTCCAGAGTAAATTATCCAAAGCAGGCAGCCCAACTTGCCATGTATATGTATAAGCCACCTTGGAATCAAATTGTCCAGCCCCAGACACTTCTTCATATGATTTCAGTCCTTGCCAATACTTTGGCAGTAATTTCAATAAAGACCTTGATATATCTGATAATGTGAACAACTAGTTGGAAAACAACACTATGCATTACATTAAATAAGAGTTAAGTGAAATACTTTGTTAAGTGAAATTCTGTATCACTTGTAATTTTTCCATTTTAATACTATTTTGTACTCTCTTTAAAACATAAAAAGAAGGAATTATTTAATTTTTATGTGCTTCTGTAGTTTTTATGGTTTCTTTTGTCATTAATTTTCAATATTATTGCATTATGATCTAATAATATGCATGGTATTACAATGGCCTTTCATTGATTTAGCATGTTCTATGGATTAGTATGTGGTCTACTTTGGAGAAAGGTCTATGCGCTGCTGAAAAGAATGTGCACTCTGTTGTTGCTGGCTGGAACAATCATTCCAAGATTTATTGTAGGTCTGATATTTCTTTGTTCATTTCCATCTAGTTGATCTAGTTGTGGTAATGGGGTGTTTAGGGCCTCAATTGCAATTGTATTAGTGTTTATCAGGCTATTCATATCCCTTGTCTTTATATAGTTGGGTGCACTTGTATCTGGTGAATAGATATTTATGATTATGATCCCTCCTTTTGTGATTTTTCCTATAGCAAGTATGTAGTGAAATTCTTTGTCATTTCTGATCTGTCTTAGATTTAAATCTTCATCTGCTAATAGAAGAGCAACACATAGCTTTTTCCAGGTTCCTGTTGTGTGGTATTTTGTTTTCCAATTTTTTCCTTTTAGTCTATGTACTACTTTCTGAATTAGGTGTGTTTCCTGTATGCTGCACAATGTTGTGTCTTGCATCTTGATCCATCCTGGCAAACTGTTGCTTTTGATTGGTGAATTGTGGTCATTCATATTAATGGTTATAACTGAGAGCTATTTATATGTCCTTGCCATATTATTTTTCTGTTGTTGTCTACCTTTCTTTCCTTTTAATTTAATTGCTTGCTTTACTTGGTGGATTCATTCCATTTGAAATTTTGGAATTGGTGTCTTTTTTCTAGAATATCCTTCAGAATGTTGTAGTGTGCTGGTTTGGTGGTTTGGAGATTCTGGTGTTCTTTATCATAGACGCATCTTATTACAACATCAATTTAAAAAAATAACTTTGCAGAGCACATCAATCTGTGTTGGATGCTGTTTTATTTTAATGCTTCAAATACTTCACTCCAAGATCTCTATGACTTAAAGTTTCATGTTGAGAAGTCTACTGTGATTCTGATGAGTTTTCTTTTAGAGGTGATTTATTTTCCTCTAAAAGATTTAATAGTGTGCTTTCATGTTGAATCTCTGGAATCTTGATTATTGTATTCCTTTGCATACTTCTTTCTGCTTATGGCTATTTGAGGTTCTATATGCCTCACTTCTTTGTATGTCAAGTTATTGCTCTATGTTTGGAAAGTTTTCTGAAAATACGTCTGTGAATAATTTTTATATTATTTTTGCTATCTTCTGATTTTTTTCATTGATGTCAATTAATCTTATATTATTTTTCTTTGCACCATGTAGCAGCTATGGGATTTATTCTTGTGGTCCTTCATTATGTTTAAAAAGTCTTTATTTAATGATTACCAACTACAATCCTGAGTTCTAGATCTGGTATTCTATCTTCATGTTTGTGGATTGTACTGTGCATAATTTCAATCAATTTTTTTAATCTCCTAAATATCTCCTTGAATGTTTTGTGGCATCCAGTTCTTTTCTCATATTGGTCATTCATGGTTTCATCTTTCCTAGGTTCTTCTAATTTTTTATCTCTATCTATCATAGTTTAACAAATCATTTCCTTCATTATGGTCATAACATCTTTATTTATATGTATAATTACTTCTGTTTTAGTTTTGTTAAGAGAGTTTTTCATTCATTTTGCTATTTCTGCTTCTACGGTTTCAGAAAGTCTAACTGGGAAACTGGATTTCATACATCTCAATGCCCCCCGGATTTGCCTTGGGTGACTTGAGGTTATTGGGTTGCATCTTGCTTTCATATTTTCTCACTTTTAGTTGTTTTTGTTTTTTTTTCTTTATTGAAGCTAGGAAATTACTTATTGTAGTTAGCTTTGTTACTATTAATGAGATCATTGAAGTAAGTAATTTTCAGAGATGTTTTCTAGGTATAGCTGGTTTTAACCTTTGAGTCTGTCCCAGAATCCCGCTTCTTCTATTTTTAGGAGGAAATATTTTAGCCTATTTGGTCTAGTATGAAGTTTTGTGGTACTGGGCTATATTTTTCATGACCCCATTACAATCTAGGTATTGGCTTACAAGGAACATCAGTTGATCACAACTACTATGACACCTTAGCTATGATAGTACAATCAATATTAAATTGGCAATACTTACTTCAAAGAGAAAAAGTGTAAGGATACCATCCATTTCTACAATAAGTCTTTCGCAGAACACTGAACTCCAGATGTACTGAAGAAATGCAAGCCGGCAGAGAAAATCCTAAAGAAGCAAGAGTGGCTGGCCTACATCAACCCTGACCTGGCTTTGGAGGAAAATAACAAGGGCAATGAGTGTTTTCAGAAAGGAGACTATCCTCAGGCCATGAAGCACTATAAAGAAGCTATTAAATGGAACCCATGAGATGCCAAATTGTACAGCAATCAAGCTGCCTGCTATACCAAGCTCCTGGAATTCCAGCTGGTGCTCAAGGACTGTGAAGAGTGCATCCAGCTGGAGGCAACCTTCATCAAGGATTATACCAGGAAACCCACTGTGCTTCAGGCCTTGAAGGATTGCAAAAAGGCCCCAGATGTAGACCAGAAGGCATTGGGCCTGGACTCCAGCTGTAAGGAGGCTGCTGATGGTTACCAGTGCTGTATGACGGCTCAGTACAATAGGCACGACAACTCTGAGAATGTGAAAAAGCGGGCCATGGCTGACCCTGAGGTGTAGCAGATGAGTGACTCAGCCATGTGGCTCATCCTGGAGCAGATGCAGAAGGACCACCCAGGCACTCAGCGAACACTTAACGAACCCTGTAATAGCATAGAAGATCCAGGAGCTGATGGATGTGGGTCTGAATGCAATTCAGTGATGACTTGCTCATCTCTTGCCTTCAGTCTTCCATGTGGAAAGATGCTGGGATGCAGGCGAACAGCACAGCAGAAGGAGAGGGAAGAAAGAAGAGCTTATCTTTATATTTCTACATGCCCACCTGGAAGACATAGACTCATAAGTCGCCATCACGGGCCTCCCAGCACACGCATGGCTTCCTCATTGCTGCCCTCGAGTTTTGTGTCTCCTTCCCCCATGCGCTGGTCTATCTCAGTTGTTCTGCCATAGTTGGTTATTTTTTATTTTGGGCTTTGGGTAATATAGGGAGCAGAGGGTCTTCTTCCAAGCCTGCGGTCCCAGCTGTCTTGATATTATTATTGCCACATCCCCACCTCCAATAAAACAAGCCAGTTGGATGTGGAAAAAAGAATATAAGACAAATCAATAGAAGCAAGGCTGAAAGATAGTCTGTCACTCTTGTGCAGGGGCAAGGATAATCTTCTCTGTATCATTCCAGTATCAGTAGATGTGCTAGTGAAGCAACTATGGCTCTGAGGTACAGTGGAAGATTGTCCAACCCTCAGAAATATGATAAAGAAGACAGGAGAGAAGGGGAAAAAGTAGAAAACAAAAACACAAACAAGATAAAATTTAAAAAATCAAAACAAAAAATAATGTTCACATTTGGGAAAAAAACAAGGAATTAAAAAAACCTACTAAACAATTTTTAAAAGACCAATAAGAAAAAAAAAGATAAAGACATTTCTCCAGGATTTCAAATCTGTCATTATCATCTGGCATCAATAATTTTGTGGGAAAAAATTTTGTGGAAGTGTACAGATTAAGGCACAACTCTAGTCTCACTGGTAGATAAGGGCACCAGGCAGATCCCAGATTTGTGTGGGATAATCCAAGCAACACAGGAGTAGGACTAGGGCAGTGTGCCATTTTAGAACTGTCAATCTCACAGATATTTAGCATGAAGCTAGCCACTGGTCATGAGGCTATGGCTTTACCTTTTACATTTATAACACTTTTGAACACAATCTGAACACAGCTTTCTCACCAAGAATGTCTCCTGTGCATATCTGTCATCCAGTCACTGTTAGAGTCCAACAATGGAAACTCAGACATCAAGTCAACTTTGTGGCTGCTTGAATTCCAGGCTCAGTTGTCTCCTCCCTAAAATTTTATCCAACCAGGCACTGGCTCCAGGGGATATGGCCAATGCATGGACTAGAGTCACTCACCAATTACGGTAGTTCACAACATATATTTCACCACTGCACAGGTATGCTTCTCTATGAAGGTCTCAGGAGTTGTCTAACTTCAATGTGTTTCTAGATTTGATCTTCTGTTCCCTCGCCATGATTCAGGAGATGGGGAGAAAGCCTGAATCAGCCCTTTCTTTTTTTGCATTGTAGTCTTACACTTTGTTTCATCTGTGTGCCCCAATTTTCTCTCCATACCTTTCCTAGGTTCCAGAGATTCACTTTTCTCCTTTTTCCCAAGTTGTTATTTTTCAGTGTAGATTTCAGATAAGATGTTAGACAAGTTGATTTACTATTGTTTTCTATTCTGCCATATTCCCAGAAATTTTCAGTGTTTTCTTAAGTAACCATTCTTCATTTTTCATGTCCAAGCTTAATTTCACTTTCTCAGCAAGTTTCCTTCCATATATAGGGTAGATTAGGTTATGATGGTATAAAACCTCATAAATCTCTTTTCTCAATATTATTAATACTTCATACATAATAATTTTGAAAAATATGAACCATAAAGAGAAATGTTATACATTTAAGAAGTATGACTATTTTGTTCACCATTATATATGTTCTATCTTACATGCTGTTTTATACAAAGTTAGAAGTTAAAAAGCAGTTTCCTACATAAATAAATTCTAAGCTTTGAACTTGGGTCTAAGAAAGACAAAAAGAGAAGGTTAAGTGCATTGCACAGATCTAAGGTAATGTATGCAAACAAATTGATTTCTCCAACATTGATAAAAATCACAACTGAAAAATAATACAAAACATAAATTTAATGCTTTTTTCTAGGCAAAATGTATTTTCAGCTAACTTCTAATCTTACTATCCAAACGTGTTCAATCCAGGAAATTCTAAAACAGGGAATGGTAAAAAATAATAAAAAATAAAAGAATCTTAAACTATACACATGATTGAATAAGTCATATCTGTACATAAAGATCAATTATTGGCACACTATTTGTTAATGCAATCTCTGATAAATTCAGGGAAGGTAGACAGAAATTGACCCAATATGTTCAAAAATTGACGTAAATGAGATTTCAGGGGAAGTATTTGAGACACATAGAGCACATGTTCTACTTAAAGCTAATTAGAATATGCCCATTTTATCATACAAAATGACTGATTCATTACATGTCATTCTGCTTATTATGAAAAGCAGAGGTGTGTGCTAGTTTAGAAAATAAAATAAACAAATAATGGACCATTGCATCACCAATAGAAAACGAAGAAGAGTTTTGTTTTTTTTTTCATACATGAATTATTTTTAATTGGAAGTTTGGAACATCCAAATTTTAGTAGCCTTTGTTATACTGAGCTAATAAAGTTTTCACAAATATATAATGCTTTATGTTCTTATTTTTTCCATAAATTTATTGAGAACCAAACAGCAATGAGACAGTTTCATATCAAATTGATAAGATAGTTTCAATAATTAACACATTGCATACTCTCTTTTTAGTGGTTATTTGCTGTACAAGATGCAGACATGATATCGTATTTACAAACATTATTAAAAAATTCCTCTATTCAATAAGAGAATGTAACTATACATCCATCCTAACGATTCTGAATACACGGGTAAAAATTGGACCTTTATCTGTATCCCCTTTTTGTTTAGATCCGTCATTTGAATATTATAGGTATGTTAACTCAGCAAAATGTGCTAAAAGAGTCCAATAGTGCACAATAGTATTGGGTCTTCTGCTTGACTGGCAATGTCAGAAATTGTTGACCTGAGTTCCCTACAGCTCAACATGACACCATGGCTTTACTTCTTATACTTCGTTTTTATACTTTATTGTTGGATGGTTAACACCAAGATAAAGCAAGACCTATGCAACAAGAGTTGTAGCTTTTGGATCTGATAATGTCAGTCAAATCTCCTCAGGATTTATGATGAGATCCTGTACCTCAGATTGTAGATTCTTTGTCAGTGTCAGCCATGTGGATGAATAACAGCCATTGCTTGGCCAGTGTGCTTTCTGAGAAAGCCTGAGAGAATGTTTTCTCTCCATGTGACTCTCCTTAGGCACACTCTACATCATGGATCACTTTCATCTTTGGCCACATAATCTCCTTGACCAGAAAATGTAGGACAGTTTAGGACACTACTGAGTTACATAATAGTACAGTACAAGTTCTCATGTATCCTGAGTCTTAATTGACCTTGGAAGGCTACAGACAAAATGTTGGCTTTCCTTGAGGCTGTCATTTTTCTCTAAACTTGGTTTGAAAGCTTAGATTGTTAATCCTCAAGAAGAGAAGCTTATTGTTATTGCCATACAACTTAGGCTGTTAAGCTTAACCTCACTCTCTGTCTGAATATCAAATATCTTAGGCATAACATGGAACAGGTATTTTTCATCAAGTATGGATAGGTTGAACTTTAAGTTTCTACAGAATATGATGAAAAAATATTAAAAATATGTTTTGAAAGTAGGAATAAAGAATTATATAATTCTTATGTATACACATAAGTCCAGAAATCTAACCATATATAACTTTGTACTAGGACAGTCCCACAACATTCTTTTTCCTGTTGCCTGTCTTCATTCACTACCCCCTTCTTTTAGAACAATCATCTACCTGAGAGACAGCAAGGCAGCAACTGGCATGTCATGACAAGCAGCCAGCATTCAGAAGACCTGAATGACAGGCACTCCAAGCATGAACCTACTATTTCAAATTGCCATCTTCAGTGCGGTTGCTTAGTTCACAGGGATCAGAATATATATTTAGTCATGGTGAGAATCATTCAAATTAACTACTAAATTCAAAAATCTTCTGAAAATACACAGAATCATTGCCTTGCCCATATTCTACATATAACTGTATGGCTTGCCACTGTCATGTTTCTTAACCCTTCTCCTTTCTCTTATTTAGTCCTCAAGTTCTTGCTTTCCTTTTAGTTGTATTATACCTTTCTATTTGTATTTCTACTTTTGAGTACTTATACTAGGGAAACTATATGGTATTCACACAAGTGTGTCTGGTTTATTTCACTTATGAGAATATCTTCAAGAGGAATCCACATAAATATAAAGACTTTGAGTTTATCTTTCTTTATAGCTGAGTAATTCTCCACTGTATAAAAATATCACATCTTTTTCATTCATTCCTCAGGTGATGGACATCTTGGTAGGTTCCAATATTTGACTATCACAAATTGTGCTGCTATAAACATAGGCACACATATATCCCTATGATATGATGTTTTCAGATCCCTGGGAAAATTCCCAGTAGAGGAATAGCTTGTTTAAATGGTATTACCAGTCCAACTCTAAGGAGTCTCCACAATGATTTCCATAATGGTTGCACCAGTCTACATTCCCACCAGCAGTGTAAAACGGTTCCTTTTCCCCACAGCCTCTCCAACATTTGTTGTTGGTTGATTTCTTTATGATAGCCATTCTTTCTGGAGTGAGATGATACCTCAATGTTGTTTTAATTTGCATTTCATGCATGGCTAGTGATGTGGAGCATTTTTTCATATATTTATTTGCTTGTTTGATTTCATCCTCTGAGAAGTGTGTGTTCATCTTGGGTGCACATTTCAGGGCTGAATCATTAAATTTTCGGGACCTAGTGTTTTTTAGTTCTTTATAAATTCTAGAGAGCAGACCTTTGTCTGAGTACTTATTTGTCATATTTTTTCCAAAATTGTGGGTTGTCTTTTCACTTTGTTGGTAATTTCTTTTGACATGAAAAAAACTTCTCAATAACAGCTGGTAACTGTTGTTAATTGTTTCCCATGCGATTTGATTTTTGTTCATGAAATCTTTGCCAACCCCTATGTCTTTAAGAGTTCCTCCGACCCTCTCATCCAGGATTTAGCGTTTCTCTTTTAATGTTTAGATTTTTAATCCATTTTCACTTCAGCTTAGTGCACGGTGATAGACCTGGGTCAAGTTTTAGTTCTCAGCATGCAGAGAGCCAGTTTTTCCAGCACCATTTGTTAAAGAGGCTTACTTCCAGTGAGTATGTTTGGCCCCTTTGTCAAAGATAAGCTGGCTGGGTGTGCTTGTAGGGGCTTCAGTGTCTTCTACTCTATTCCACTGATCCTCAGTTCCATTTCGTTGCCAGTACCATGTTGATTTTATCACAGTAGCCTTGTAGTATACTTTCAAGTCAGAAATTGTAATGCCCCCTGCCTTCTCTTTTTGTACAGGATTGCTTTTCCTATTCTAGGTCTTTTCTGGTTCCCAATAAATTTTAGGAATGATTTCTCTATGTCTGTGAAGTATGCTGGTGATACCTTGATAGGCATTGCAT